ACACACAGTCTCCTTTAGCTTCATTCTAACTGTAATAAAGATAATTTTTTACTAACTATTGTTTTATTTATTGCGGTTGTATTTTTAACTTTATGTTTTTGTATCTTAATGTACTTTCATTTATACAATAAATGAGCTCTATTTACATTTATATATTTACTCAGTAAAGTAACTGAACTAAAGAAATCCTCTTGCTTCAGTTGACTGCAACTGTCTAATGAAGGCAGCATCACTGAATTAGATCAATGAATACCACTTTACTTCACTGTACTTTAGTTTATATCACTTACTGTATTTATTTGTGTTTATATACACAGCATTACTAATATATTCTACTGTCAGACCCATTTTAGTTCATCGGCCCCATTTAATCTCAAATGAGCCAGACCAGTAAAACCATTAAGCATTCATAAAAACATCTTTGTTTCTTTGTCTCCTGAGTCTTTGTGCTGAAAAATAAACCGTATGAAAACATTCACTTTTTATCTGGATGAAGTCAAACTCTGGCCTTACACAGATTTACATTTAATGAACCGTCTAATTACAGAACAGATGATCAACACATTTTGAGTTCGCTTTCAAAAATTGAGACAAACAGCAGCAACATAAATCCGTTCTTTGTTCTGGATTAGCAGTGATTTACATAATTATCTTCATATATACATAAAACACATTTCACTGATCATCAGCACAGCTGTTTGTAATAATATAATGTAAACATGTAATGTATGCAGTTGATGTTGGAGATCCAGGACTACATAGCTGGAGTGAGCCGCTGAAATCTGAGACTAAAAATTGTTGAAGTGAATCAAATCAAAGCTCTCTCCACCCCCGTTCAGGCTTTTGAGGACATCTACATTGAGCAGAGGAGGGTGATCAAAGTGGTGCTAGAGTACGCCGACAAGATCTTCACCTACATTTTCATCCTGGAGATGATGCTCAAGTGGCTCGCCTACGGCTTCAAAAAGTACTTCACCAACTACTGGTGCTGGCTGGATTTCCTCATCGTTGATGTAAGTTATTGATTCATTTATTTATCAGATTATCAGCCAGTCACTCACTTTAGCTTTTATGTTGGTGACACAAAAAGGCTACAAATTTTGACTAGGGATGGGTGTCCGGTTCTGTCATAAACGGTAGTAACCAGACCGAAAAGCAGCGCACATTTCGGTGCTTTATTTCGGTGCTCTTTTTTTCTGAG